TTTGTTTTGAAGTTAATTTGCAATTTCTTCTGTAATGTGATTTCAGTTTACTTAATATCAGATATATATAAATATGTGCTACTGCAAAGAAATAAAGATTTATTAATGACTTCACGGTAAATTAAACCACAGCCTCTGCTGTACATTGGCTGTGAATTCAGTTGTTCAATATATGGGTACGCAGAAGATCTACAGTCTTAGAAAGGGAGGCAAGAAGTCAAATGACTTGTTAAATGTATGGATATGTGTTGTAGATTGCAACTCTCATTTAATGGAGGGATCCAGATGACAGAGAATCATAGAATTATAGCATGGCATGGGAGATGTGCTCCAAACCCTCTGCTAATCTTCATGGTCCTTGTTTGGACTCTCTCCAACAGCTCCACAGTCTTTTTCATTCTGGTGGCCCCAGATGTGGATGCAGTACTGCAGACGGGGCAGTACAAGAACAGAGTAGAGGGAAATATTCCCTTGCACTGCTAGTCACTGCTCTTTTGATGTAGCCCAGGATACAGCTGGCCTTCTGGGCTGCAAGTGCATTGATGGCTTGCATCAAACTTTTCGTTCATCAGGGCATAACCTGGGCTTGATCTGGTGAGATAATTGTTGGTAAAGGTGAATGTGCTTTTGGTTCCCATATGAAGAACCAGTTTTCAGTCCATGACTAGCAAGGTAATGGCAATGGTACTGTCTCAAATGGCAATATATTGATAGCTCTAGATAATAGTAACTGGGTGTGCTGTAAGGTTTTTGGATGCAAGCTCTGCACAAGTGGTTTGCAGCGTTAGTAGCATCTGTATTATGTTTGGACTGGACTGATCTTTTGGAATCTTGACCTGTGGGATTGTAAACCAAAACTTAGATATCCAAGAACACATCTGGGTTGCATAGTATTACCACATTTGTATAAGGTAGTGTTCTTAGTTTCTTTTCATTAGTTTGTTTTCTGTTGACTGGAATGAGGAATTTGATACAGGGTTTGTGCTGGCAACAGAATAAGTTCAAGGGACTTCAGTGATGTTTTTCTTCCTGTCCTGGAATTCACATTAGAAGTTGTGATTTTGGTATATAACTAGATAAGGTAAATAACGAATAGAATACAACTAACAAACACTTCTCTGATTTAATTTATTTGATAAGTGTGCAGATACCACTAGCTATTCGGTCAAATGCAAATTTCATAAAAACAAAAGTAGGGTTATATCTGTGTTACTGGATTTCTTAAGATTAATGTTATTTCTTCAAGTAAGTACCTGCCTCTTCCTAGGAAGATTGTTATGCCATTTATAAAGCAGTGAAATGCTTGAAAAGTTTTTTACAGATAAACAATCATTTTCTGAGGAAGGCAAAATAACCTAATGCTTTGCGCTAAAAGAGAGAAATGTTTTGCTGTCTTGCAGCTTACGTATTTTCAGCCTGCGCTAGGTGGAATGAGACACATCTTAAAAATCTGATGAATTCAAATGGTATCCTGGGGTCCATGAGGAGAGGAGTGGCCAGCAGAAACAGAGAGGTGATTGTCCCTCTCTACTCTGCTCTTGTGAGTCCCCATTTGGAGTACTGTATCCAGGTCTGGGGCCCCCAATACAAGAAAGACAGGGAGCTGTTGGAGAGGGTCCAAAAGAGGGCCACAAAGATGATCAGAGGGTTGGAGCACCTCACCTACAAACACAGGCTGAGGGAATTGGGCTTGTTCAGCCTGGAAGAAAGAAGGCTGCAGGGTGACCTCATTGCAGCCTTTCAGTACTTAAAGGGAGCCTACAAACAGGAGGGGAATCAACTCTTGAAAGGATAGATAACAGCAGGACAAGGGGAAATGGTTTTAAGTTGAAGGAGGAAAGATTCAGTTTGGATGTCAGGGGAAGTTCTTTACTATAAGAGTGATGAAGTGCTGCAACAGGCTGCCTGGAGATGTTGTGGATGCCTCGTCCCTGGAGGTGTCCAAGGCCAGGTTGGATGGGGCCCTGGGCAGCCTGGTCTAGTATGAAATTGTGTTGTGGCACAGGGGTTGGAGATTCATGATCCTTGAGGTCCCTTCCAGTCCAGGCCATTCTGTGATTCTGTGAATTCATAAGAAATTGCTTTAAAAATGTGTTTGCTTTACTTCTGTTTACATCTGTAAGATAACAATGTGAAATTAATAGTATTTGGTTCTGAGTATTTGTTGCTAAACATACTAGTGTGTGTAGGGAAATGTTTGGAAATGGGTAACCTTGGGTTAATTAAATCCATCTGGTGGCTGACTAATGACAGGAATACTATGTCCAGGGAATCATTTAATGCTACAAGATTTGATAATGCACCAGAAGTTTTCAAACAAAGCAGTCTTAGAGTAAATTAGGACTCGCATGTAACTGGAGTGAAAACCAGTCCAGCAGAGCAGCTCATAGAATTGCAAAGGTCTGTTTCAGGCAGAAATGTCCCAGAAGAACTGAGGAACAACATTTTTTGTTCCTTGAGATGTAAAATTGTGGCTGGGACGTGATGTGAAACTTTTTTTTGAGTTTGTGCTTCAAGGAGTTGACTTTTATGGGACTAATTTAAATGAATGTTTCCTAGCTCGCTAAAATCCAGGAACAAATATCTTCATTAGGAAAGAAGCTATATAGGGTGAAAACAGCTTCCAGAGGCACTGTGGTAAAAAGTGAAGAAAGGCAGAAATATAATTTGTGTCAGCTGGCAAGATATCTGATCCTATGTAGATCAATGCCTGAAGATACTGCTGTTGACGGTGTTTTAAAGCAGTAGCTGTGACTGTTCTTTTTCTGTTTCAGTGCTCTAACTACATGTAATATACAGAAGAAAAAGAAGACTTTGTACTAACGCCTTCATGCATTTATACTTTATCTTCGTCATCTGTATTGTTGACTGATTTTGTATTGATTTTGTAGCTGTAAGTTAGCTTTTTTGTTACTTGCCAGTTCAAAATTTCTGGGAAAAAACAACAACAACAACAAATGCAGTTTGTTGTTACTGAGTTAATTACTTGATTAATTTGCATTTAATGTTTTCTTGCACTTACACAGAACATGGTCTAGTAGTGGGGGAAGGAACTTCTGAAGTTTGAGGAGACCTGAATGCTTTTAAAGCAAGCCAACCACAATAACATCAGATAAAGAATAGTTTGTTACATGTTGATCTGACAGATGGGCAAAACAAAACCGAGAGATTAACATTATTCTGCAGTTTAATTTTTAAAGCATGCAAAAACAGTGACTTAATAGAATTGAATATGGAGAATGAGTTTTTTTGCTCTACATGTGAGGAACTTGCCTAAGCTTCCTTTGTAGCGAGTACAACAAAATAGCACTAGTAAGTGATTTATCTCAGCTTAAAGCAGACATCTAAAATAGGTCAGATGAATCACGCTTTGAAATGTCTTTTTTTCTCCTCTGAGTATGGAGTGAGTTTAAAGTGACCATCTCAGATGTGTACATCCAGAGTTGGATTAGATGGATACCTTCCAGGCTGTCACGTTTTACAAAGCAGTGGATAATTACTGTTTTTTGTAGAGGCTGAAGGCAACTGTTTAAGTAATACATTTCTAAAGGGTGTTTTTCTTACAGCTGTGGCAGCTTAAGTGTAGAAATTTGATGTATTCTTAATGAAGTGCGTCATGTGTTAGGACTTTGAAAATGTGCCCTGAAATATAAATCTACTGTATGCATTGCATATTTCAACCTTGTGAGTGTTGGTGTGCAGCAGGTATGACCATGCACCCACATCCACATGGGCACTGCAAAAACCGATTGCGAGCTGAATGCTGTGAATTATCTGTACAGAGAATTGTGTTCCCTAGAGACCTTAGCTTTGAGAGGACACAATACATAAATGAGTTTGAAAATACAAATTGACCGCATTTACAGTGTTTTCTGTCAAGCATGCAGCTTATTAAACATTCTGACAACATCAAAAAGGAATCCTTTTCTTTTTCCTGTAATCTTCATCAAGTCTGTTTCTTCTAGTAAACATTGTAGTGTAAGTTGACAACCGATAGTGACTTCAGAGCGGATGAATTAGCAGATGTATATTGTGTGAAACTGCACATAGTTGCACAGTAGCTATGGTTACCAGGTTAAAGAAATTACAGTCAGTTTTGAGTTGCCTAAAAGTGAAGTGCTGGAATACTTACATAGTTATCATGGACTTGTATGTGTAACAAAACTCCAAATATGCTCGATTTCTTGAACTGACATTCTGCTTATTCAAATTCTTGTTTTCATGTGGGAACGCAGTATTTTGCTTTTATATCATTTTAAGAATTGAGGGCCAAGCACATGTCTGTAATGAGGCCAGTTGGTTTCAAAGTTCAAGATTTTGAATGAATGTTGCTAATATTTTGATTTGCTTTGGACAATGCTAAGTTCAGGCATAATTATTAAGAATCATATAATCATATTAAGAATCACATACTCACTTTTATTTAAATCTAACTTTTAGAATGACTTATTGGAAGTATTTTTTTTTATTTTTTTTAATGGTTGCTTCATCACTGAAATGGTGCGGGTGAATTCAAGCAGGTCGGATGGAATTGGTCACAAAAACATGATACGTTTGCATTGCTCTTGGGTCCATTTCAATGTTTCCAGCATCTGTATTGCTGAGAAACATAAGAATGACTTGAGTCTGTTTCCAAAAGCAGTGCAGGTGTTGAGAGGTGTTGAGGAGTTCAAGCCCAGTTGACTCAAATGTAAAGAAAGAAAGACTGAATGTTTCTAAAAGTTTCCACAAGGTTAGAAACTCAAGGTACTGTGAGTTGTGTTGGAATTCAGGCACTAACACCACCTTTTTTCAGTGCGGTTTACTCTCTTTTAATGAACTAGATAGAGTGGCACTTCTGCATTTAACTTTAACATAATTCCTGTAATATTGTCTGTATATTATAAGGAATAGAATAAGAATGAATAGGGTAAGATTTTACAGAACCATGCTCTTTTTTAGCTTACAAATGAATTGGCTGCATGATCTCGCTCAGTCGATCTGCTCACCTTGTTTTCTAGAATAACCAACCATGACGACAGAGTCGGGATCAGATTCTGAGTCCAAGGACAAAGAGCAGGACCAGCAAGAAGCCCCTGCACAGCCAGGGGCAGCAGCAGAGGGCCCGCCGCAGCAGCAGCAGGAGCAGCAACAGCTAAGTGAAGAGCACCAAAACGCACTTGAGCAGTTCTCAGCTGTGGCAGCACACAGCACGCCAGTGAGGAAAGAGCAGGTAGGAAAGCTGTGCACGATTGCTCCTGGGAAACAGTGAGCCCGTTTGGTGTGATGTTATTGATCTTCTTGGTTGGTCTTCTGTATTTAAACATAATATCCCTCATGCAGGATGTCTGGGAGTTCATGTCTTTCTGCCTTCATTGTGCTGCTTTGGGCTGATCTTACTAAGTGAGAAATGCTTTCCGTCTCACATTTGTGTTATGTAGCAAACAGTGCCAACTTTTAAGAAGCTAAAAATGTTTTCAGAGTTCATTTTTTATTTGACACCTGCTGAAAACTAATTTCATGCTTGCTTGTCTGATGTGTGGGCCATGAAGAGTCTGTGGTCTGTTAAGCTTCTTGTAGTTCTGAAATGACTGCATTATAATTGCTCTAACTTCTCACGTAATAGGTTTTAGAAGAGCTATCACATGATTTTTCCATTTGGTTCATTGTCACACTTATTAAATTTGTGGCGGCTGCTTTCTTCTCCTGTTAACAATTTCCAGTCAATAGGATTAACAGGCATTGTTATTCATCGGTAAATGACACAAAAATTAATGAGGTACCTGCAAATCACATCCCTTAGATCCGTAAGGTTATGACTTCCCCTCCCTCCCCCTTTGATGGCATTCACCTTTGAAGAATGGAATAAGCTACTCATGCTCCTCCTCTGTTCTTTACAAAAAAAAAAAAAAAAAAATCGGGTACTTTGTGAGGTCTTGTTATTTTTCCTTGTTAGAAGGCAGTGCTGGTAGAGCAAGCAGAAGTAAGACATTACTTACCAACACTGTGCATGTTCCACTGAAGCTGCTTGAGGCTGGCTGTGCGCTTAGCTTTTAATTCTTTTTTCTGCAGAACTACAGCTCAAACTTAATGTTGGTGAAGGAAAAAAATGAGCATAAGCTGTCTCTTATACAAGCAAAGCCTTTAATATCTCCCACATTTAGTTCTTGGGAGAATGAGTGCTCCTGGGACCAAATTAAAAGAGGTGTCTGACTTCCTTTATTCCAAGATGTAGACATGGCAGGACAGATTTCTGATACTTACTGCTATTGAAGATCAACCTTTTTTTTTCTTTTTTTTTCTTGGTTGCTAATCATTTGTATCAGGGCCAGAAGTTACCTGTAGTTAGTCTGGGGAAAAGAGAGAGGGCTGCTTTCTAGGAGAGAAGAGCACTACACAAGCAAATCGCTAATGTACAATTCAGTTCTTTCAGGCTTAGGCTTAAGTATTATCTTTTTTTTTTTTTTCTTCCAGACCACTTAAAAGCAGTACTGGCCAACAGAACTATTGCCAGTGGGTTCGTTAAAAAGCGAGAAATTGTGGGATTAATGGATATCATTTTCTGTCTTGCTGTCATTTGTTCTTCCATGGTGGGATCAGTGTGGAGTAATCTTGTGGTTTTTATTATCACTTGTATAAGAGAATCTTAGGAAGAAAGATTGAAATTACTGATCCATAACAGTGACTTTTTGTTTTCATACCATACACATGAGAAAAAATATTTTAATAAAAACAAAAAGGCTTCTTCACAATGGGATTGCAGTTACTACAGAAATTAATTATTTCATGAAACATGATAATGTAATCTTACTGTCTTCCTCCCTTTTTGTCTACTTGAAGAGCAAGAATATATCAAGTGTTGAATGCTAATGTTTCTAGAAACTATCATAAATAGACGGGATTCATGCACTGTGCAAGTTTGGTAATCATAGAAACATAGCCAGGGTTGAAAAGGACCACAGTGATCACCTAGTTTCAACCCCCCTGCTATGTGCAGGGTCGCCAACCACCAGACCAGGCTACTCAGAGCCACATCCAGCCTGGCCTTGAATGCCTCCAGGGATGAAGCATCTACAACCCCCTTGGCAATGTGTTCCAGTGTGTCCCTTGCCCTCTGTGTGAAAAACTTCCTCCTAATATGTAACCTAACCTCCCTGTCTTGGTTTAAAACCATTCCTCCTTGTCCTATCACTATCCACTATCATAAACAGTCGTACTCCCTACACCGTCCCTTCAAGTACTGGAAGGCCACAATGAGTCTCCCTGGAACCTTCTCTTCTCCAAACTAAACAAGACCACTTCCCTCAACCTTTCATTTTGTACCCAAGTTGTGAAACATCCAAGATCATTACTGCTAAATTCTGTAACTCCAAGGGCTTGATGTGAGGGAGAATTCCATCTTCAAAAGGGGATGATCATACTGTTTCATAGTGAGATATATCTATGTAAATAAAGATGAAAAGCTTATGCTCAAAAAATACAAACCCTGAAGCAATTCGTGCTTCACTATAATTTAGTCTGTAACACTGAAAATGCTGTAGAAATGTCTGTTGCAGGAGTGAACAGGATTCCAGGAAGAATATAGTTATGCTTGCAGAGTTCAGAATAATCCACTGAGTACGTGGGATTTTCACTGGCCACTTTTTTTTTTCCTTTTTTTTTTTTTCCCTAAATAACACAATGTCAGTTTTCTTTAGGAAGAAGAGGCTTAATTCAGTCTGAAGGTACCTCAGTGCCTGAACATGTCAGCGTAGTTCATGAGATCTTCTCTAATAGTTCTTGGCATATTTTGTTCTCCAGACAAATGAGAAAAAATCCATTGTATGATTTTAACCTAGACAGATTCTCCTGATCTTAATGTCAGTAGGAGTCTAGCAAACAAAATAATGTCAATAATAGTTTGCTTTTTTAAAATATATTTATAAATAAGCAAATGCCTGCTTTGCTCTTTAGCTACAAAGTATCTTCATGAAGGAAAATAATCAGCAATCCATAGTGGTTCAAAGAAGTTGTTTGCATGCTGAAGAGGCTTCTAAAATATAACAGGCTGCTGGGTGCCTTTGCTGTTGTGGATTTATCTTTCAAGCAGTTTTCCTATCTTCTTTAAAAAGATTAATTCCATGGATCTGTTGTTTTGTTTGTTGTTGTTTTTAATTTAAGGGGTTTTTTTTGTGCTAGGAAGAAGCTTACTCTCACATGAGAAATCTAATGAGCCACCTGCAATGATGGCATAGTTCTTCCAGCCCTGGGATGACTTTTGCACCTGTAGATGTGCAAATGCATCTTCTGTGGTAAATTTCCTTAAGAAAACACGTAGAAGTCATCAGAATGCCTCTTCCCATTAGTGCTAGGTCCCTAAGAGGAGACATCTTGAGCCTTGTTTTTCTCATGGTGCTTAAGCCCAACTGCTTGCCAGCTGGCCTCTGTGATTGTAGAGCAGTGGCTTGGCCTCAAGTGTCTTTGGAAGCTGGAGGCACTCTCCCTCATTCTCATGGCCACGGTGAGCATTTAAATCCCAGAAAACAACTAATCTTGTGATGTATGTTGTGCCTTCATCTACTGCCAGCTTTCAAGGCATGCAAGGACCTTGGTGTCTGGACTTTCAAGTGCTGGGAGGAGAAAGGAGGAGAAAGTCTCCTCCAGGTCTGCAGATAGACAGGGGAATAGCCAGCTGATGGATTTTTAAAGCGGCTTCTTTGCTCTGCTCTGTATCATCCTCGTCCTGCTTTCTTTTTATCTCCATACTCAGGAATGCCCAGCAGACCTTTGCTCTGTCCTCCCTTGTGTAAGGAAAGGAGGAGCATGGGGCCACAGTTGCATCTTTGCCTTGGTGGGAGTTAGTGCTCTCACTGATTCTAAACGCTCCTTTTCCCTATTCACCTAAGTAAAAAGGGAAAGCTTACAGCTTGTTTGGATGAAATCTCTTGGGGAAAGTTCTCTGTGGTTTAGTGACATGCTGTTGTTGCTGGTTTTATCATGCAAGGTTGTTTTGGTCTCAAAGCAGATTAAAGCCTTTCAGTGGATTTGCTCTTCTCTCTTGAAGGCTTATTACATGCAGTGAATGGAAACAGATGAAGGATTAATTTATATTATTTCCAGTGCTGCTTGTTTCTTCTTACACAGAAATCATTCAGAGCCAGGCCTGTTATTTTTTTCTACTGTAGTGAGATAACTGAAACATTTTTTAAATGTATGTTTTTAAAGCTCTAGCTTAGGTATTAGTGCACTCCTGTTGTGATTTTGCTTGGAGGCTATCAGGGGCATAACTGATTTGAAAGGTAATGACTGCTGCATAGTGCTGTTGCTAGGAAGGGTGAAATGCAGTAGAGCTGTTCTGGCTTTCATCTGTTGCAGTGAAAAGGACCACGAGCTGTGCTGCATGGCAGTGACTCTTCAAATGGTCTGACCCACAGATAAGCCCAAGCAAAAGGAACAGTAATTGTTTCTTCTCTACCCTTTCCGCTGCAGAATGTCTTTCAAATGATCTACTTCTTGCCAGCTTAAAGGACTTATTGAGCATCTGCAGAGAGCACAACTCAGCCTCTCATCTTGTAGTTATCATCCATTAGCCAGCCAGCTGCACATAAAAGATGTTTGGCCTCTTATTTCCATCCTGTTTGCTTAACCCTTCGCTCAGGTGTTTGGGGAGCCCTTCTCTCTCCAAGGCACATCAGAACCCTTCTGCAAGTTCTCGCTGTCATTGACTGGTCAGGCCTCTCATTCAGGGCAGCTTTTCTCATAGACAAAATTAGTGCAGATCTGACGGTCTTTTCCTATTCCATATGACGCCATGAAAACGCTATGTGATTTAGTAGATACAGCACTTTAAGGTTATAATCTGTGGGAATATTGACTCGCTACAATGTTTACTCTTTGTTTAGCATTTTCAGTAGACCAAAAAAAAAAAAAAAAACAAAAGGTCCAAGAAGTTTCAGAGGGATTTTCTAAGTATAAAAGAAGTAGAAACCTAAATTATTTTCATGCATGTCCCTCCTCCGTGATTACTCTGACCTTTTGGAGTGGGGAGGAAGGGTTGGAAGTAATACAGGGAGTCTTTTCAATGGCAAAAAGTCTACTGTGCATCATGGACCCTCTCATCCAGTCACCATTCTAAAGCTGCATCTGCCAGAAGTGGAGTGTGTAATGCATTGCACTGCACGATTGGTCTGTCTCAGTTATCTTTCTTTCTTTTTCTAGCCCACAGACAAAGAACAGGAGTTTGCAGCTGCAAGTGCAAAACAGCTTGAATATCAGCAGTTAGAGGACGACAAGCTCTCTCAAAAATCATCATCAAGCAAACTTTCCAAGTCTCCTCTAAAGATTGTCAAGAAACCTAAAAATATGCAGTGCAAAGTGACACTTCTGGATGGATCTGAATATGCATGTGAAGTAGAGGTAAATTGCTTTTCTCTGTTTTTTTCATTCTATCTAGAGGAAAATATTTGAAATTAGACTTGCAGGTTAATATTTAAAAAAAAAAAAAAAAAAAAAAAAAAAAAAAAAAAAGAGTTTAAAACTGAGTTCCCATTTTAAGCAAAAGTATGGATGGCCAGATATTTCATCAATGCCATGCACATAGATGTTTCCATTATTTTTCCTGGAGATAGAATACATTGCAGAGATTTTATCTTCAGTGGGGAATAGCGAACAGTCCTTGGAGCAGCCAGGGACTATGGATTAATATTGTGTTAGCATGTGCCACTACAAAATGCAGAAAATGAATTATTGAGGATGCAACTGCGGGTACCTCTACAACACAGCTTACTCTTTGGCACATGGCTAGATCCCTACGAAAAGCTATTTTACATGTCTGTAAGGTTCAGCTACAGTGAAAGGAGTCCTTGCCCAGCCAAGAGATAGGATGTGGCGTTCACTTGCTTTATCCACTGGAGAGAAAAAGTACATACAAAGGGTTTTACTAGGCTGGGGAGGCTGAGCATCTGTTTCTGAACACATTTCAGAAAATCATTTAGGAAAATGAAGGTGAAGTTCTCATCTTGGGTAATACTAAAGTTCTGTTGCTTTTTCAACAAAAATCTGGTGCTGCATTATGAGAAACAATGTCACATTTCAGAAAAATGATATCATATTTTTTAAGTACTCCGTAAGTGAGCTTGCTATATTCTCTAACACTGGAAAAAGTATATGTTGGTATATTCAAAGATCTAGCAAACTACAGAAATCAGTAAATTCCCCAAAGTGAATTCCTTAAAAGAAGGGAAAGCAGGAACATGCCAACTGAACATTTATTGTTTCCATTCCTTGTGTTTTACGCGCATAAGTGCATCTTTCAGTGTGGATGGTGTTAGAGATTTGACAGTTGGTAGAGGGAAGTTAGAAGGTTCATCCCTTATTGTCAGCTTCCATTTTGCAGTTCTACATGTCCTGCTTCTGCCTACTGAAGTCTATAAAGCAGTGTAATTTAGAAGGACTGGAAATTTAGAAATGTCCTTTTGAGCTAGAATACCAGCTCTGTCAGTGAATTTTGTTTTGGAAGTGAGCCAGATATTTATCTCTCCAGAAGCATATTCCCTAGTCAGGGAGTTGGGGATCATTATAGAATCCATCAGTTACTCTATAGAGTGGTTGCAAATGACAAATGCTTTTATATATATTAAATATTCATATCACTTAAAGGAGATTATTGCTCTCAAGTAGAACACAACCTACAGCTTATCAATTATGTGTTCATCCAGTTAATGACCTGACAGCTGAAATAGCACATACTCAGAGATTTAGATGCTTCTGACATGGGTTTGGTTAATTCATTATCCCTTTGCAGTCCGTTGTTTTACAACTCCCTCTTTCCTATTCTGTATTCAATGCTGAGAGTCTTCAACAGCTTCCAATGTTTCTTTCAGTCTCTCTCATGCCCAGAACATTGCATATGTGACACCAGGGTTTTTTATGTTGTATGAGATATATCTGCAAAGCACGGGATAGTGGAGGTAACTTCAAAGAGGAGGTTAACAGCAGTTCATCTAATGTGTTATTCTTTCAGTGAAAGGATCTGAAGTAAATGCCAGATAAAAGATCTCTCCTGTGGCCCTACAATATTACTGCCAGTGTGTTGTATCTATCCTGACCCAGAAAGTCTTTCATGCAGTAAGTCATTGCAAGCCAAAACCAGGTTAAATAGCTAACCCAACCTGTTAATTTATCCTTTTCCAAAAACATAAAACAGAAGCATTACCATCTGTACTGCCACCACACTTCTCAGCTGGGAGCCTATGGGTAGGATCAGCCAGCTTATTTAAGAGCGGTGGTTCCCTTCCAAGGTGCAATGGATACCTAATGGCATTTTATGTGTCTGGGAACAGCTGTGTGCTTTTGGAACAGAAGTGTTTGTTGTACCCTGAAGTTCTTACTAACAGTGTCAAAGTAGAGCAGCAGCCTAATATGGTTCCCTCATGCCCTAAAGCAGCTGGAGCTTTCTAATGGGTACTCAGAGGAGCTGGCATAGTCTGCATGGGTGATGCTGGCTGTTTTCCAGTGAGATGTCCACCCCTCCTGTAAGCTGTTCTCCTTGCACTGTTCATGGCGCTCTCCCACCTGGCACCAGGACCAGAAATATTTTGTCAAAAGTGGCCAGGTCCATAGCTGGTGCAAAAGCTGCTCAGGCAAAGAGAACGCTAAGGACTTCTTTGTTAAGCAAGCAAGGTCTACGTACTGCATTTATCTTTACTTCTTCAAACCAAAAATGTAAGATCATAGAATCATTGAATAATTAAGGTTGGAAAAGACCTATGAGATCATCTAGTCCAACTGTCAACCAATCACCAATATTGCCCACTAAACCATGTCCCTAAGAACTGCCCTTTCCTGAAACATCTCCAGGGAAGAAGATTTAAGACTGCAAACTGAATTCAGATAACCTTAACAAAGGCATTAGTTGAGGTTTTTCTGAAGGTATGTGAAAATAAGCAGAAATAACTTCTCTGAATTTCTCCCACTTTAAGTAGGCGTTTTCAAGTGCTCTACTACATTTACACTATTTCTAGGATTTATTTTTCTCATCTTCCTTCTCTGTCTCATCTCATTTTTCTGTTGTTTAGACTGCTGCATTTTAATTAAAAGACTGAACTGGAACAAGCTGTCATCCTCTCCCTTAGATGTTGCCTAACTTGAAGTGTCTTTTTAAAACAGGTTGGAATTTGCCTTCATGATTTCTACTCTAAACATATAGATGTTATTAATCACTGTGTAAGATCAGAAAGCAATAACAACCTTAACCAAATGAAAGGCAAAATGGTTAGATTTCATTTTCAAGGGCACCACTGTCTGAACTCATTGGTAATTTATACTCTTCCTTCATTCTTCTTCCACTTGGATTTTATGATCACACAGGAAACTAGTAAATGAAAAAAATGTTTCCATAGCAACCTTGCTGTAACAGTGCTGTAGCACTGTGCCAAACAGGTTGAGTTCCTGTATAATTTGGATGCAGTGGAGAATGCTGAAATCTGATGTCTCAAGGAGCATTGCTATACTCACTGTTCTTGGTCAATGGAAGTCAGCTGAGGTAGGGCGGATTGTTACAAATACACCTGTTGTGTTTTTTTTTCTATCCAGTTTTTGCAGTCCACTACCCAATTCTGCCCACAGCAGTAGACATTTCTACACGTCTCTGAAAAACAACCGAGAATACCCTACGTTTTTAGCAATAGGTTTCCCCACATCTTCAGGGGACTTCAGGGTACCATACTTGAATGGGAAAGGTGAGGTATTCTATTTCCATACGTTGGAAACCAGGGTTTATAACCTGAACAGAGGCAAACTGGGATGATCTGGTCACTCTCTGCCTTGCGCAAGTGTGTGGTAAAACTCCTTGTTGAAGGCAAAATGTGCATGAAGTGAATGGCTTCTCATGTAGCACAGAGTGTTGTGTTTCACATGAATTTTTCTTTTTCCTGAAAAACGTGAGTGTATGTGGATGCTTCCTTAAAAATTTAATCATTAAGGATGGTTGTTGGACAAGTTGGAAGAACAGGGAATAAGCTCTGCTATCATTGGCAGAACTTAAAAAGTAAAAAAAAAAAAAAAAAATTCCAGTCCTTTTTAGATTCTGTACTTCAACACTGCATGTGTTTCTTCTGGTATTCCACATCTCACTTGTAATACCATGTCTCAAGGATAACTCCTTCTGTGTCTCTGTGTTGTGGTGGCAGAAGGAGCAGCCCCGCTGTTCCTTTGCCCCAGGAGGTGTCTCAGCATGGACATATGCTCTGCTTTGCCGTGGACAGTTTAATAATGTTGCCTTTTTACCCATTTTGAGGTAGACGTGAAGGTCAGGAAGGAAATTGCTGTAATAAGATGCACTCTGCTTGCTGAAGGATACAGTTTCAGTTACCCCCTGTGTGGTTTAATTGTTTAATGAATTCCACACAGTCTCTTGCAATCGGCCTTACATGTGAAACTTATTACTGCTTGCAAAAGGGAATTTTTTTAATAAGACTTTTCCTTTTGACCTAGTCACTGCTTATATTTCAGTTAATTTAATATGAAGAGATTTAGGTTAGGTTTGTGTTAGGCTTTTTTTCCTTACCTGGGACGTGTTTCACTAAATGTGACTAGGCTGGGATGCATTGTTGGCATTATACAGGATGTTTTCTGGCCCCAGACCCACTAATTAGAACTGACTTAGATTAGCCAGGGGATTCAGCTAAGATCTATGTTACCTGACACGTGTCAGTAGGAGTCTGAGTATTGCCTGAATATGTTCCAACTGAATAGAGCTAATATACAACTCCTCTGGCTTACGTTCTCAAAATGCTGTGTACTGCTTTTTATAAGTTAAAGTACTTGTCAATTCAGGAAGCACAGGGTTTTGGAAATCGATACCCATATTGTCCAGCTCGTAATAATGAACTATGAGTCTGAGCCAAACATAAAAGTGTTTATGCTTGCTTTTAGTGCACTTTAAATTTTTTTAAGGTTTTTCATGGAGGTTAAAGAAATCTTTTTAAATTATTTTTATTTTTTAAGACATTTAATGCTGAACCTAGCATTTTTGAAGTGCCATAAGTTGGAGGATGTTCATGTGGCTCTTCTGAGGCTGGAGCATTTCCTCTTTGCCCAGAGGAGCTCAGCTTCAGTGCCCCAAACTGGGAACATCTGGGTTGCACGATACTGAGGGACAAGGTCTGTAAAACCTGGTAGGAAAGCACATCTAGATGGTTAGACAGCTGGATCTCTTGTATTTCCTCCATTTAATATGCAGGTATGTTATAGAGACAGAAGGAAAACCAAATATTAAACGAAGGTCACCCTTTCAGATGTTGTACCAAGTAAACAGCAAGTTGGGCTTTAAATTTAACCTTTCAACTGAGCAGGGGACATGGCTACAGTGAGAACAAACACCGAAACTTCTAAGAAAAAAGTATATAGTACATTTG